AAGTCTGCGTCGAAGTACGACATGTTGTACTCATAGCCAACGGGGAACTTGCTGAGCACGTTGCGCAGCGCGGGCACCGCAGAGGGTGGGCCGAAGGGCATGTGCTTGCCCGAATACTCGAAGTCGGGGCTGTAGTAGTAGAAGCTGTAGAGGCTGACGTTGGCGGGCTCGTAAATGCTCCACTGGTTGTTGTGGTTGACGCAGCTGGGCCGGATGAAACTCTTCTTGACCAGTGTATTGATGCCGGGCATCAGCGCGATCGGCAACAACAGGGCCAGGAACGCAGACGCCCAGTACCGCGGCAGCACCCGCATCCGCTTCATCATCAGGATCCGCACCTGCTGGAAGAAGGAAGTCGGCCTCCCCGAGCTGAGCTGCTGCCCGGGGAGCAGCATGGGCGCCGCGCTCTTAATGGTGTTGCTGTTGTTGATGTCCGCTCCCTTTTCATCGTCTTGGTGCCCCAGCGCCAGCTCCTGTGCCTCTACGTCGGCCTGCGCCACGTGCAGAAACACGTCTTCAACCGTAGGCCCGGCGACTTGCACGTTTGAGTGACCGGCCGCCTCGAGCTGCGACACGATCTGGGCCGCCGAGCGCGAATCGGGCGTCTGGTAGACCATCTGGTCTTGGTGTACCGTCCACGGGGCGTCGATGCCCTTGACGCCCCCGCGTGCCGACCCGAGGGGGGCGTAGACGCGATAGCCACCACCGTAAGTGTTTTTAAGCTCGATGCCCGAACCCTGGCACTTGATCTGGCCCTTGGAGAGGATGACGATGTGGTCTGCCAGCACCTCGCCCTCGTCGAGGAAGTGCGTCGTGAAGACCATAGACCGCTTGGAGCGCTCCGCTAGGATAATGTTCCAAATGGCGCGTCGGGATATTGGATCCTAATCAGACGGTGGTCAGTATGGAGGCAGATAAAAGGGGTAGACGGCCGGTCAGCAACTCACCAGTCCAGACGTCACCTCGTCCATCAGACACACCGTAGTGCCTCCGACAAACATGCACGCCAGCTGCAGCTTGCGCTTCTGCCCACCGCTCAGCGTGCCCGCCTGGCTGTGTGTCTTGTGGGACAAGTCGCATGCTGCAATGAGCTCGTGCATGGCATTAGCGTCTTCCCTCCCGCCCTTCAGCTGAGACCAGAACTTGACGTGCTCGAGAACCGTAAGCCGGTCAAACAAGACATTTCGCTGCGGACATATGCCTGGATCACGACTCATGTTAGTGGGCTTGTTGGATTTGGGGGTCTCGAAGTTGGAAGATCACTAACCAAGCTGCGAGGGACTGGCAGCAATGTCCATAGTCCCGGCGGTGGGCTGCTGGAACCCTGACAGCAGATCGAGCGTGGTGGACTTGCCGGCGCCGTTGACGCCGAGCAGGCACAGGATTTGGCGTTTGTGGGCGACGAGGTCGACGCCGTTCAGCGCCCGCAGCCCCGTGTTCTTGTCCCTGCCGAAGCCGGCCCAGTTCTTGTGCCACGTCAGGGGATACACCTTGGCCAGCCCGGTGGTCCTGATAGCCACGCCAGAGTCGGCGTCGCTACCTCCCGAGAATTCCGTTTCTCCTGTCGCCGTCATGGCGCGCCCCTTGTGGTTGATGCCGTGGACAAAGTGCTCGGCGAGGATGGCCAGCACGGGGTAGAAGAAGATCTGCAGGATCAGAAATCCCCAGAACGTCTTCACGGGGACGTAGTACGACTGCTCGAGGTCAAACGATTCGAGCCCCGAGGTTTGCCACATGTTGACGGGCTGGTTGATCACCGCGAACCGTGCCATCTATCGTGCGGGTCATTGTTAGACAGGGTTAGACGCGGCATGGCGGGCGGGGAAACTTGCATGAGAGACAAGATAGATGTAGTTCATGGCCGGAAAGAAGAGCGACAGAGGCAGGACGCTGCTCGTCTGGATCCTCTGGCTCAGCGTATCCATGGCGCCTGCGGCAAGGAGACCGAAGCAGATGACGACGAATATGCTCGAGATTCTGCGCGTCTTGAAGAAGGCTGCCGCGAAGACGGTCGCGTTGAGAAAGGCCAGGCCGCTAAACAGCTGCCAGAATATGAGGATGGCCGCATTTGTGTCGGGGAAGAGGAGGTCCCAGTACACTGTCGGTTAGTAGTCAGATAATGTGCTGGTAGATATTGCGTGCGGGCTAATTAGTGAGGAAGGGATAAGAGGAACAGACATACAAACACCAGAGATAAGCCACGTTGGCAGGTACACGCTGCTGAAAGTGATGATGTGGCTGACGACGCGAGCGGTAGGGCCGCTGCCCATGGCATCAACCAGCTGAGAGAGGCCAATCTCGCGCTCCGTGGTAATGACGTTGACAACATGGTAGATGGACGGCACCACATGGAGGAAGAAGACGATGACGAAGATGCGGACCACGTTTTTGGCGTATTGTCTTCTCTGGTCGGCGTCCACATCTTCCTGCGTTTGCGTGGTATACATGTAGGTGAGTGGGGCCTCGGTGGAGTTGGTCATGGCATTCTCGACGGCCAGCTGCGTGGGCAGCCAGTATCTCTGGTAGGTATTGTCTTGGGAGAAGACATCGGCGCTGTACACCTGGCCGTGGATGGGGTCGAAGCGGACCGTGTAGGACCAGGTGTGGTTGAGGAACGGGACGGTGGACAAGGGCGAGTCGTTGAAGGTGATGACGGCATAGCAGCCCGACGTGCCGCGGAAGTTGGTGAAGCAGCTGTCAGTGGCCTCCTGGCGGCTGCTGACCTGGAACCACTGGCTGGGCGCTAGCGGCTCCGTGATGGTCTTGATGACATCGTCGATGTCGGAGCCGAGGTCCGGGTTGTCGGCCCTGACGATGACCAGCCGCTGCGAGCTGGGGATGGCGTCGCGGAGGGCGATCACGGGCGCGGGCGAGCCGACGCCAAAGCCCTTCTTGGCCGGCTCGAAGTTTTTGATGTTGAGAGTGACGGCAAGAATGGCGATTGGGGCGACGGCGGCTAGCAACAGCGTCGATAGCCAGTGCCGCGTGACCAGCAGCACCAGGTTCTTCCACACCAGCGCCTTGACCTGCCTCGCAAACTGCCGTGGGGAGGACCACGCCATGTCGACGGCGGTGGTGATGATGATGATTCTGCTGCAGCCGAAAGTCGAGATGGGGATGCAGAAGAGCGTGACTGTGCTGGAACTCGGGGATCGAGCGAGTCAAAGAGGTGTCTCTCGACCTCTCTGTATCAATCAATCAACCTTGTATCCCGCAGTCCATCGGCATCTGTTATCTGAATGCCAACGCGCTATCTATGCGTATCATGAAGCAAATATGTCGAGGCCGTGTTCCATGCAGCGAGTGACGCGGCTTGAAAGGGGCGTGAGCGACTCAATGATGCATCGTCGAAGCGCCAGAACATTGCCGTTTGGCCGCCCGTCAATTGGCCCAACACGGGCTTCCCCTGTTTCCCCAGACATGCTCTAGCTGGAAGAGGACGGCCGCGCGTTCTTGGATGCGGAATGATGTGACATCACGGCCCGGCGTGGACATGGCCAATCGTACTCTTCAGTCCGCCATCCTGGCAGCTTGGCAGTCCAAAGAAGGCGGCTTCCCGCCCAGCCACCCCCAACCCAATTTCTTTTTGTTGTGCGTCAAGGTCCCAAACCCAGGTACGTAAAATACTATATTTTTGCAAAATGGGGGCTGAAAACGGATAGGTACATCATTTATCGAATGCGCACATCCCGCAGTTTGTTCGCCCAGCTTTGGTCGTAGTGCTGGCCACAGCATGGAGCTTGCTTGAGTCGGGACGAACTAGCCAAACTCTAATTCGGCGGACGTGTATGCACGGATCAAGTACCCGCTGAGGGAAGGAGCACTCCATCGTCAGAAGCAACCCGAGTGCCCGAGTTGTTAGTGTTGGGTGCCAAATGCCTAACGGGAGCAGGTCTGTGTAACGTGGTTTGGAATTTTAGGGCTTAGCACCTTCCCAATACAGCACACGGCAACTCATTTGTCGCATGTTTTCTCGCCTCGGCAAACGGTTGCCTAGGGTGGGTGGGTGTAGAGTGCCTTGCGAGGCACAAAATCCGCTACTGAGGGGGCTCGCACAAACGGGGCAGCTGCGTCTCGATTAAACCATCGATCGTCTGTCTACCAGATGGTCGCGGTAGCCATATGGGGAATGGTACGTGACGACGGCGACGACGCACTGAGCCAGACACAAGTGCCTCGCATCCATCTTGTCGCGGAAAAGGGCAACAGAGATTACAAATCCGATAAACAACGATGCGGTTGTCTGGAGCGTCGGGCTCGAAAAAATTGATTTGGGGCTGCGGAGACTGTTGTTCACACGTTCACGCATTTTCTCGATCAGCGCGATAGTAGATATTTCTTTTCTGTTTCCAGTTCAAGCCAAAACCGCCACCAACACGGCGTTGAAAACCCACGCTGCTACAAAGCAACTGGTGGCTGTAAATGCCTGGGCGGCTGGGCCTAAGCAGCTGCGCATATTTCTGGCTGGTTGGGTTCAGGCTCGAGAGTGGCAGTGCAAACAGTTCCTCGACGATTTGAAACCGCTAGTCCAATTAGGTGTCGGGGGTGAATCCATCTTCCCGAGACAGATATGCGTGGCGTTTTGGCCAGGCAATGGCGGCAGCGCTGGCGAATCGATCCTGACAAACATCGAATCGATAGCAGATTCTCTCCCGGCCCCCCTAATCCAGTCGCCAGTGTCCAGCTCAGCTCAACGGTAGCGAGCTGTGTTGGGTTGGAGTACGCCTAATGCTTTGCCAGAATACGAGAACCAATTTAAGGCAGGGAACTTGTTGTCCACTCCCAATTAATGTGCTTTACCATCTTGGCTTCGACCAGTGGTCGCGTTCCATTTCCATCTCATACACAGCCATCTTTCGCCCCAACTCAATAGTCTGAAGTCACTACAATACTTACGGGCACATGTAACAACGGCCGGGAAAAGTAGCGCGTATCAACAACAACCAAAAACACACAACCATCGAGTTTGCAGCGCTGCCGACGACAGCCCCAAAAATAAACTCTCCCGCCGGGAATTGAACCCGGGTCCCGAGCGAAATCGAATGACAAGCTCATATACTGACCACTGTACTACGGAAGATTTGCAGGTGTGGACACCCGCCGTAGCGCTGGTTGGCTGATGGAAAGAGAGCTCGGTGTTGAGATTGATATGTGCCCACTCCCCGAGTCAGTCAACGGGCACATTGGCAGCACGGTGCTTGACTGGACTAGGGAAGATCCCGCGTTATGGTTGAGACCGAGAAACAGATAAGAAACTCCCATATGAACCGACATTGACCGTTATTAACATTATTTCTAAGCCTTCCAAAGTTGCAACCAAGAAATTAACTCCTAGGTCTAAACCCAATCAGTCCCTTAGTTAGACACAAACAAACAAACAAACACTGACGCCTAAATTCAACCCAAAAATAAAAACGAGCGAGAAGACACCTTCATCCCATCCATCCATCCATCCATCCATCCATCCATCCATCCATCCATCCATCCATCCATCCATCCATCCTTCCATCCCAACATCAAAACCCAGCACAAGCAGCCGGCAGCGCCACCACCTCGCGACAGCTATCGACGCCCGTCGAGACGACGCACAACTGATCACAAACCACACCTTCCGCAACCCACACGCGGTGCTCCTGGCCAGGGATATCGAGGCGCCACTGGCGGGCCGTGTCCGCGTCGGCGACGGGCGCCGACGCCTTGTACCCGGGCCGACAAGCGCACGCGGCGCGCGGGTTCGGTAGTCGCGGGTCCGGGAAGATGCACGTCGGCGCTGTGGCTGCGTCGCAGTGGTTGCTGTGCACGGCGCACCCCGCCGGGCAGGTTGCCGGCGGCGCCTTGCAGGGTGGTGCGGTGCCGTCGGGGCAGGTTGTTGGCGGCGGCGCCTTGCACGGCGGTAGCGAGCCGTCCGGGCAGTAGCTGCCTGGAGGTGAGGGCGGGCACCCGGTTGGGTAGACTGTTTGCGTGACGGTTACGGTGATGTAGTTCACGGCGCCGCAGGTTGGGTTGGGGCTCGGGTGGGGGACTGGGGGGGTGGGGGGATAGTATATCTCTGTGGATGGTGTGTACGGCGTGTACGGCGTGTTTGGTGTATATGGCGTGTTTGGCGTGTATGGCGTGTAAGGTGTCGTGGTGGTGGTGCTCTTGTGCTTGGTTGTATAGGAATAGGTGCTTGTGGTCCAAGTCGATGTGTATGTGTCGGTGTATGGCGAGGTGGAGTACTTTGGGGTGGTGTAGGTCGATGACGTGTAGGTGGAAGTCGACGGTGTATACGTCGACGTTGTGTACGTCGAAGGTGTGTACGTCGACGAAGTATAGGTGGACGTCGAAGGTGTATATGTTGACGTCGACGGGGTATAGGTTGAGGAAGACTTGTAGTTAGAAGTCTCGGACGAGGTGCTGTACCACCATGAGGTGGGGGTTGACGAAGCGTAGTCTGGCGAAGTTGTCGAGTGGGCCTCGCCATAGACCTCTGAGTGTCTGTAGTCCGCCTCGTAATATGCTCCCAGCGCCATTGCCGGGGCGAATGCAAGCAAAAAGAGTTGCATGGTCGCAGAGCCGCTGGGCACAGGCAAAATAACTACAATATGTTTTGGTAGACTTGAGGGTACAAAACCAGAACTTTGGCAGGATGAAGAACAACTTCACTTTGACAGTTGGCCTGCTCATTTATCTCCAAAACAAAACCACAGTCAATCCGGAAGGTAGCCACCCTTTGCTGCTCAGGACATGCATGCAATCACCTTACTCACTTTGCTACCATTGCAATCGTTCTGGGCTGAGGCGGGGAGACCTGCGGCCGGCAAGTACCGCAGTCACTGAGCCATGTTTCTTTGTTCGTGGCGGACTAGCCCCGTCAAGCTCCCCGCAGCCAAGACTCGATGCCGTAGGGCTGAGCAACTCTAGACCCGGTAATTCTCCAACCTGTCGCCGCAGCCGGAGTGGGCGTTGCTTGGCAGACTTGCGTCTTTAAGCTTGTTCCAACTCCAGCTTGGGCCTTTTGCTGTGGATTGCGGGAGGCAGCTCATCAGCTGTTGGCGGCCGCCGTGTCTTTGAAGGGGTTCTTGACGATTTGAGCTAAAGTCATCTACCCCCCTTTCCGTTTGCGGAAGTGCCATAAACAATGGGCTACAACGGCCAGCAAGTCATTCGATCTCAGCCCAAATGGGGTCTGCCAACAGCTCTGTTATCCCATATCTTGGCAAGCCGACTTCAACCGATCAGCCCACCTGGAATCAATGGATGCGGCCTAGATCCAGAGTCGAGTGGCGCCGGAAGGATGCAGAGCCGCTTCCAGCCCCCGAGATCCGCCTTGCGGGGCTTGGCTCTCGAACAAAAGACTACAGAGAGTGTGTCCGCGTCCAGCCACAGGAAGGTAGCGAGGTGAGTATCGATGATTCTCTGCTCTCTAGGAGTAACTACTTCTATTCCCGCATCTCGAACCATCCGCCCACGGCCAGATCTTGCTGTAGACTTCACTGCAACAACTCTTCTGTGACCTGAAAGTCGGGTCATTTTAGTCTTCACACTGCACACTCGGGCGGCATCGACACGTCACAATGTTGCGAAACTGCAGCTGTACCATCCTCCTGCTGCCGGTGGTGCTGCTAATGCAGGTGGCGGTGCTGTCGTCCGGCATCATCTTCCTGCTGGCCGGCACGGGGGGCATTGACAATGCCGAGCACCTGCCCAAGCTCTCGGGCGTCTACGTCGCACTAGTACTCGCCCCGACAAACAGCACATATCCATACGAACCCCGCTGACATTCTCTCGCAGATCGACACGGCCAAGTACGAAACCACAGCCGGCAAGGAGAAATACCACGGCCTGCCGGACTCGCACGACTACTCCAAGCCCAAAGACTTCTTCGCCATCTTCCCGGCCCTCTACTGCAGCGGCAAGAAGAACGGCGACAAGTACGAGGCCGACTACTGCTCGCCGTGGGGCAAGCAGTTGTTCGACCTGCAATGGTAAGCCTTTTCTGTTCACTTCCAAATCGCAGTAGTAAGGAAACAACACCGTCCTAACATTGACGACACAAACAGGCTGTGGCGGGTGTGGGGCGTCGACCTGGTCGAGAAGAACTACATCGCCAGCTACCCGACCCTCATCTTCGCGGGCGTCATGACGGCCGTCGTCGCCGCGGCCGTGGCGCTGGCCTGCGGCGCGCTGAGCTTCTGCTTCTACTGGAGCATGGTGCTGGCCGCGCTGGTCTCGTGGGTGCGTATCCCGTCAATCATTCATCGTCGCGACGAAAAACCGCGTGCTAACTAAATCGTCAACAAAACCAGGTCTCAGCCATCGGGATGCTCCTCGCCGCGGCAGCAGGGCACATGCTGACGAACAAGCTGGTCGCCGACATCAGCAGCGCGTCGTCGGGCAGCGTCAGCGCGCAGTGGGGCGACACGTTCGCGCGCGTGGCGTGGGTGGTCGGCGGGCTGGCGGTCGCGGCGGCGGCGCTGTGGGCGCTGATCGCGGTGCGCGAGCACCGGGTGCGCGTGCGGACGGGGCGGTCGCGCATAGCGGCGCGGCGCGACCGACGGGGCGGTGGTGACGGCCCGTCGGCGTTCCGTGTTCGTGGCGCCAGCTACAAGCACCTCTCAGTCGGCAAGGACGAGATGGCTGGCTTGCATGACCACGGGTACGCGTCGCATGTTGACCTCGTTGGCGTCCGGGCACGCACGCCGTCGCCGTTTGAGCCGATGCGGCATGTTAATGTTGAGTAATATGGGGTTCTCGTTTAGGTTGGACAAACAGTGGTTTTGATAGTTTGGGTTGGAGAGCGAGTTGAATAATAGGATGACGGTGGAGTTTTGGTGCTTAGGCGTTGGAAGTTGGTTGGTACTTAATTTGCTTGGCTTTGACTTGGGTTGGTGTTTTTGTTGTAATCTTTTGACGCGATGAAGGAGACACTCCTTCATATATGGGGTGGTAAATGGAATTTAACTGAAGACCTGACTCTATCTGGACCTTTTGTGTTTTTGGAATGATTAGAGACTACACGTGGGATACTTATTCCTCTTTGGACCGTTTGGGGGGTTGGGGAACGAAAGGTAGCCATGTCAACTTCTAAACATATACCATCACACATCATAATATCTTGACAAATTGTACTTTAATAAATTATGAGTTAATGAAAGACCGGGAGTAATAGTAAGCCTGAAGAAAAGGAGATCTTCAACTAACGAAAAAAGCAGATAACGCTATACTAATGCTAGGCACCTAGAAATCGCACCAAAGAAAGCAAAGAAAGAAAGAAAGAAAGAAAGACAAAAAGAAATGCAATCCAGCTCCAGCAATGCAGCGCTCCGCCAGCCCATGCCCAACTCAACATCAACACAACACAACAAACACACCACCGCGGGTACAAGGATCATACACGCACTGTACAGACAAACCAAGACAGACAACCCGCCAAGCAGAGCGTTCCCGCCGCCCTGCCTGCGCGCAACCAGAGAGCTCGAGCAGAAACAAAACCCGTCGTCTAGAAAAACAGGTCCGCGAGCACGCATCTGGTTGGTTCCCGGCCGCCACCGCGCCAGACCAAAATCCGCCTACACCACCGAAAAACCGCCGCCGCCTGGAGCCTTTTGTGTGCTGGGACATACCATAGAGGGCCAGTCCGGAGCGCAGCGCGCAGCTGCATGGTGAGCGACGAGTCCAGCGGCCGCCCGTGTTTACCCTCTCAGGAGCAGAGAGTAGAGCGGAACCGGATCGGCGGACCTGCTACAAGCCGTCGGCGCCCAGCACAACAAAGACCCAGGCGTCGTCGGCGTCGGCGCCGTTGACGTCGGGGCTGGTCATCATCATGTTGTCGCCGTCCATGTCGTCCTCCTCTTCGTCTTCGTCTTCTCCGAGTCGCCGGAAGAACCTCCCCCTCGCCGACCGCGGCGTCTTGGCCGCTGCGGCCGCCCGCGCCGCCGGCGACGGGATCGTTGTTGCTGCGTTGCCGTTGCCGTCGTACCACCACACGCCGTGGTCACTCGCGAACCCCTCGGCGCTGAGGATGATCTCCCACGACACGAGGTCGTCCGAGTCCGAGTCATCGTCGTCGTCGTCGTGGTGCAGGCTGCTGTCGCAGCA